GTGAAAAAAGTTGACGATCTGGGAATGGCGAAGATTCCAAGTCCTAGTAACATATGAATTTCGATAAAACTACTGATAAAGAAAGTTGTACTCTTCCCTATTATAGCCCTTTTAGACACGAAGTGTCCTGCTTCACAGAGTTCTGCACTTTTTCTTATCGCAGTATCATATATAATAAGAAAAAGCTTTCTAGATATTCGTTATCAAAAATCGACTGTGAGAAATTAAGATAACACCGCATAAAATTTAGACCCAAAGGGTCATTGCAAAGCAATAATGCAGGCCATTGATTATTAAAGCCGATCAACTTTTTATCGCTAATAAACCACTGTTAAAGTCATTGATTACTAACGTACGTAATCTAATCAATTTAACTATTTTTGTATAAGGCTTCTTAATTTTTATTCTTTTTAGAGGTTGTCTAAAGCCAGGTAGTTTTTAAATTGATTATTAACAAATTCGTAAATTAAAAATCACATGATGCATATAAATTACTACCTGGCTTTAGATGATCTCTTTTTATAGTAACTTTACATCATAGGACAAGGTTATTTTTATTTAACAAAGAAACTTATTTTAGTATAAGATATTCACTATACTTTATTATGGTGTTATTTTTAAGCGCATATATCTTATTTAGGCTGATAACGATAAGCAATAGTGATAAAACATATATAAAACAGGCATTATCTTACCTCATATGTACACCTCATACATTTTTGTAGGTCATATCCTTTTCTGATTATACTTCCACGACATTCTTATACTAAAAATCCTTAAACTGGAATTCTATACTTCGATCCCTTATCTTATTGTGAAATCGGCCTAAAATTTTGTTGTAGGAGTTTTTATATATACTTACCCTATCATCAAATTTAATCAAACGCTTATAAAAACATCAGCCCCTCTATTTTATTTTGCAAAATAATTACCATTCTTCTTGAGTAGGACCATCGGCTCTAGGACTTTAAACCCTAACAGCTCGTCGAATAGTATTGTTTTGCCCTGTCTATTAGTAATATTGTGGTTTTTTAATATGATGCAAAAATCTGTTGGGAAGCAGAAATATAAAACTGCATTTGCTGGTCCTGCTAGTATATCACAAAAAGAACCTCCAAGAAGTTGTTACAGCAAGCTCGAGCCCGAATTAATAAAAAACGTCAAAAAGAGGAACAAAGCGCAATCTTATCAGAAGGACGTAACTCAGCAGTATTAATTCATGATATCGTACTACCATCGAGGTCAAACATTATTTTTAATCCAAACCGGGTATGTATTATTTCTAGTTATATTAGTATAAGATTGTTTTTTGTGTTGATAAGATGTCTATCCAAGCTATTTGTACAGGTGTACTTAGTCATGCAAAAAAATTTCATTTCTAATACGGGAATGATAGGGCCTCTGACTATGTACGTTGTGAGACTCAACGGGCTCATAATTACTACTTGGTGGCTCAGTACTTTGGTAAAGATGTCTCATTTGTTTTGCAAAAAAGTGCAATCTAACTTTTTTTTTTCTAACCAATGGTCTAATATGTTTTCGATAATTAATCATCTTATATTTTTTTTTATCATTTTGTTAGCATCGCATTTAGCAAGCTACCCGCAGACTATGCACTCAGGACAAAATATATTATATTGAAAAGGAGTGGACAAGTACCCCTTATGCCTATCAGATCGCGAATCAAATGTAAGTATTAAGACTCAATATGAGATTTCCACAAAGAGCTTGTTAGTGGAGACTCTTATCAGAGAAGTGAAAATGAACAATAATACTCTTGAATTATTTGAGATCCCTCTGACTTTTTAATAATAGTAAATAGGGATATTATTAATCCTAATAATTTTCATAATAAAGAAACTAGTGTGTCTAGTTTTTCTTTAGA